GGTGGGGGGATGGGTTAGCCTGGTGACGGATATTAAAGAGGGTGCGTATAGAATGGAGCACTGGGTGTTATACACAAATAATGAATCATGGATCATCAAAAACTAATGATGTAATGTATGGTGATTAACATAACATAATAAAATTTAAAAAATAAAAAAAATAAATTAATAATAAAAAAAATAAAGGGGACCTATTTTCTTCAGAGCCCCATTACTTTCATAGTTAAGGTTGAAACTTTCACTTACAATACCTTTTGTGATAGAACTCAGGCTTGCTTCTCAAACCTAAGTCCTTGCTATTCCTTTGCATAAGTCCTATGCCCCACTGTATCAATTTTTTTTATTCTATGGGGACAGGATATGCTTTCTAATATCTCCACTTCATTCACACACGCTGTTCCCACTGCCTGAAACTTTCCCAACTTTCCACATTTTCTCTGAGATATTAATTCCTATAACATTGAAAAACTTTCTTCAACTCCTGTTCTTCCTGACACTTTCCCTTCCAGGCTAGTAGGCTTCTCTCTCTGATTCCCCAAGCCTTAGAGGTTATTCCGTCTTGTAAATATCAGTTGTTGTTGTTTTTTTTTTAACTCATCTCCCATGAAGTACTTGAGGGTTTACAAGTATTTGTAAATTCTTGTTTACAAGTATATTTAATTTAGAATTAGGAAAGAAATTAAAACAAATGACTAGAACTTTAAAGATTCAGGCTCTTTTTCTTCTAAGATCTGTTTAGGCAATTCATCAGAAATGCTTACTTAGAAATACTTTCTAATAGCAGCCTGGCTTTCCCTGCCATCTAGAACACTCTATGACTATCACCATCTCACAAATTTCTTTGTAACTGAGGGGTCCCAGAGCTTGCGATTCAGTGCTTTTATGGTAAATCTCCTTTTTAAAATGTATCTTTGTGCCTCAATGACCAGTGCAATGTTTTGACCATAGCAAAAATTTAATACATACTAGTGGTAGCAATGTTGAATTTTACTTAAACATTAAGAAATCTTTTTACCTTTTATGTGTTCTAGAAGAAGACTTACTTCAGAGGAACCACCCTTCCAATAAGACTTTGCTAAGACACATGGATACCCCCACCTTGTAAAACAAGGTCAGACAGACTTGCCAGTTTTCATTCTTTGCCTCAAAAATGACTAGCTGAACCTCTTGTCTCCACTGATAGAACAAAATGCTTGCAACCAAACTTTGGTTAAGCTTCTCTCCTTCCTCCAGGGGCCTGAACTTTGACTCACTTTTAGCCCAAGTCAACATTCAGCCCCTCCTAAGAACAGACTGGACTCAGAGTGAAAGATCCTGTGACCTACTATTCTCTCATTCCACCTTTCAACCCACTTGCCCACTCTGGTTCTTTCTAGCTTTGTACTTCTCTCTGTAAAAGAAAATCCCTTTTTGTCTAACTCTTGAGAAGCTTGCAGTTCTTATGGTCACCAAGGTCTCCCTTTCCCTAGCCTTGAAAGAAATCCCTTTCCCCATACTTTTGAATATCTCTCCTTACTAAGTCCAGGTTTGTTTTTAACTTGACAATTGATTTACTTGGGTGGGTGGGGGGAAGGAGAAGCAAAAAGAAAGAAAAGAAAAAGAATGAATGAAGCGAACTCCTATCAAAACAATCAGCTTCCTTTGTCTTTATAATGCAGATGCTCTCCTCCTGGTCCCATGTGCATTCTGGTGTTTGATACTGTCCACCTGCCACAATCTACTTTTCTGTCAGGCATAACTAAAAACTTAATTTGTCAATATTATCAAACCATTCTGATCTCTAATTTCCTTCTGGTTTAAATCTCACCTTCCACATGACTCAGTCTGGATCCTAATCCTTTCAGACCTTTTCCTGGCTTAGTTCCCAAAAAATCTGACCCCCTTACTGCAGTAAAAATTGAGGAGACATTTGGTTAGGCATCAGTCTTGATCTCAGCTCAGATCTCAATCTCATGGTCCTGAGTTGAGGCCCCACACTGGGCTCCACGCTAGGCATGGAGCCTACTTAAAAAAAAAAAAAAAAAAATGAGGTGACAAGATAGTTTTGAAAGGCCTAATAGGTTCCAGTGGCAAAAAGTTAGAGTAAGGCCATTCCAGATGCAGACTGTATGTAAAGTCTTGGATATAGGAATTGGAAATTCATGCCTGAGTAAAATATAATTCCTAATTTTAGTTTAACTTGATAGAATTAATGAAAGAGGGTTGGAGATAGTCATGCAATAGCCTTAATTGTTAGACAAGAATAATTGAACTTGATATAAAAGAGCAAAATAGTAAAATATTTTATTGTGATGGGGACATGATAAAAGTATATTAAGTTAAATGGAAGTAGGAAGAAATTGGAAAGCAGGAGGGGGAAAAAAGGACAGACTGAGGAAATAATGCAGACAGGAGGTGATTCTGATTTATAGGTTTCTGTAAGAAAGAAGCATGTTAGGAATGGATATTGATTGGGATGAAGACCATGAGCTTTGTATTTTATGTGTAAAATTTCAAATATTGGCAAAATGCGCAAACAGCACTATCCTATAGTGAATGAAAAGGTGCTGAAAGTATAATTTGGGAGACATTTGAGCTCTATCATTCAAAACCTTTGAACTTGTCCTATGATTCTCAAAAAGAAATTCCAGAGTACAGTACACCTTTGCAGTACAAATGTTTTTCCCAAATTTGGGGTAAAATGTAATATTTTTTCTCTTTCATAAAATATATTATTTGAATTCTCAACTGATTTTATAATTTTGTGTTAATTGCAGAATGCAGACAGGCATATTTAACACTAAGTATTTTGAACATTTAAGTAGTTAATATTTGAGAACACTTAATGTTAAGTACAGTTTTAAACTTATTCTTTCATTGGCTGAAGTTATTGTGTTAAAGAAACACGGATAATAAAATTCTGCATAGGTACCCTACATAGGTACAGGATATAGAAAAATGTGATTAAGATAGTGTTAAATTATAGGGTCATTTTTACAATCGTTATTTTATAAATTAACAAATCAAACTTCATCAGTCATTGAAATCCATTATTTCAGATAAAGAACAATGATTTATAAGAGCCAAGTGGCAGATTTAATACAACCTCAATTTTAATAAAAGTGTTACAAAGTTTTAGTTATTAAAAATTCAAAAAGGTTAGCATTTTAGATATAAAAAGAGCAAGGCACCAATCGATTTAATGGGAGATAAAGGGTAAAGCATGCAATGCTCAGACTTTAAAAATCCAATTATTCCTATTACTGTACATACATTAGGCAGTCATATTTTAGTGCTCTCCCATGCCTCACTTGTCTTGCTGCCTCTTATCAAACCTCATATTTGCATTTTAATTGACTTGGGGGAAAGCAAAGGGAAAAAGAAAAAGAAGTTGTAAAATTAAAGAAAGTGCTCTGCATATTTGAAAGCATGTAAGTGACCCTCTCTGACTATGTTATGTCAATGCTTTAACCACCACTATGCTCCAAAAGTCAAATCCCTATCAGTCTAGCTGTTTTTAAATTGTTGCTTCCAAACTTAAATACCTTTTTTGAAAGTTTATGTCACTAGTCTTAAGAGTGCTTAATATATACGGGAACCATATAAGACTTGAATAAATTCCCACTAGGCTATACACACTTTCCACTGGGTAAAAGAATAGGCACAAAATTGTTCAGTCCTGTTTCACAGTTAATATAAACTTCAGTTTTCTCTTCTGAAAATGGAGATGGCAAGAGTGACTTTATAAGACAGCTATGAGAATAAAGGAAAAGTTAATGTCTGAGACTGCCCAATGAAATATTCCCTGTGGGCTCTCTGAAAGTTGATTCATGGTGTTTTGGCATGACTCCCGAAGTGGTTTTGAAGCTGTTTCTGGGCCAGTGGTTCTCAGACTTCCTGGTTTTAAAACCCTTTTATACCCTAAAAATTATTGAGAATCCCAAAGGCCTTTTTCTTATTTAGAAAATATTCTTTTAATCCTTACTATATTTTAACTTAAAGTTAAATGTATAATTTTAAAAATACATACTTATTAATTTATTTAAAATAACTATAAAGAAACTAATTATATCCTAACATAAACATTTTACAAAAATCCACATTTTTCAAAACAAAAAAGGAAAAGATTGGTGTTGTTTTACATTTTTCAAACCTCTGTAAGAGCTCTAGATTCTAATATCTGTTTCCGCAATCAATTTTTTGTGATACTTTGTTTTGGTTGAAGCATAGAGAGAAAATCAGGACTCACACAGATCTGTGGTTTAGAAAGGGAAGACCTCAAGGTATCCTTGAAAAGGTCTTGGGGGACGCCCAACGTCTTGAAGCCACACTTGGTGAATTGCTATTCTGAGAAATACAAGCAAAGGGGAGGAGAGCAGATGGTTTCCAGCCTTGGCTTCATGTCAAATCTGGGGAAATTACATAGGAATGTATTAGAGACCTAAAGACCTACCTTTAGCCTTCAAGCTCCCTTTAACCTGGTTGTCTGTATACTGCCCTGGTATAATCCATGTGCACTTTGGTCCTGCCAAGATGATCAGAACTCTAGGTGCATTCATTTGACAAAAGCTGGGAAGAGAGGACAAGAGCTGCTTGTGTAATAACACATTCATGCTGTGGAGGTTTTACTATATTACATTTTGTGGGGCAATGTGAATGAGAACTCTCTGAAAACTCCTTTGAAATAAAAATATATGTTAATGCCTTATCTAGTGTGATATTCAGTAACACTGAATGTGACACTGAATGTGTCAAAGCAATAAAAATAACATCCATTTCTCATAGCTAATAGTTTTATTTACCAACTAAAAGATCATTATATGTAAGAGTTTAGTTTCCTTGCTGCAATGAACTAAATGTTTATGTCCTCCCCACATTCATATGTTAGAATTCTAACCCCTAATGTAATGATACTAGAATTAGCCTTTGGGAAGTAATGAACTCATGAAGGTGAAGCCCTCATGAATGGGATTATTGCCCTTAAAAAAGAGATCCACAGATCTCCCTCCTGCTTCTGCCATGTGAGGTTATAGTGGGAAGACAGAGGTCTGTGAATTCGGAAGTTCTTCACCAAACGCCTGTTCTCTCAGTGTGGTGGGTCTTTGATTTCCCAGCCTTTAGAACTGTGAGAAATAAGGTTCTGTTGTTTAGATGCCACTTAGTCTATGGTATTCTGTTATAGAAAGATGAACTAAGACACTTGCTATTCATTAGGATCATGTGATAAAATGACCTATTTAGAGCCAAAAATAATCTAGCCATCCACACAAACTCATTAACCTTTTCAGTCAAATTATAATTTGACATTTTTCTCTCAGAAAAAAAATTATAATTCAGTCTGTGAAACACAGAACACAAGGAAATACTTATTGTTTAATATAAATATTTTTGTTGTACGTGTATACATGACATAGTTGCTTACCATGTAGAATACCTACTACTATTAATGTAATTGTCAGAAACAGTTTTGGAAATACCTACCTTTCATTAAGTGATGTGACTAACTACCTAAAATATATATTTTCAAGAGATTCACCCAGGGTTATTTACTCTGGGATTTTCTAACATATTACACTTTAGAAATACCTGGAGCTTCCATAAAATGCCCAGTGGACATGCCCTAAATCAAGTAAATAGCAATTTTTAGAGCTAGGTCCTTGAATTATGTTGTTGAAAGCTCCTCAGATACTTCAGGTATAACCATGGTGAAATACCACTTATTTGGACCAAATGGATGTTCAAAATCATATTATTCAATTTTTAGTTATTTGTTGAGAATCATTTCCTTGACAAAAAGACTTTCACTTAGTGTTGATGGATAATGTCTAATGTTTTTCCTTTTATTTTTAACATGAAATATGCTACAGAAACCCTTGATAATCACAAGCATCTGCATTTTAAAAGATTTCCATTGTTGTGAACTATTTTTGCTCATTCAGATCTTCCTGGGGGGAATTTATCTCACTGGGAGGTAATCTATGTTTAGTCTTAACTCAAAAAAGGAAAGCTCTTCAGAAAAGCTTAGGGGATACAGGTCATTAGCAAAAAGCTGAAATTGAAGTATTTACTGAAGTATCCATTAAAATAATGAATACTCCATTATTATGAGATTTATTTTCCTGGAATAGTAATTTTCCCAC